GCAGGCGGAGGGGGGAGTCGTCGCCGGCCCGCGCGGGGGGGGGGGGGGGGGTGTTGTGACTTGATTTTAATTTGAACCAAGCAAATATATTTTTAAAGTAGAATTATAAATTATTTAGTTCTAAGTTTTTTCTCATTTGACATATTTAATAAGGTATCAGAATGGAAGTAGAATTTGAATAAAATAGTCTCATCTCATGAAAGCCAGAAAGCTAATTATTTTCATTTATTTTTGTGAACTTTGTTAAAAGACGTCATTGTGGACTGAAGAGATGGCTCAGTGGTTATGAGCACTGGCTGCTCTTGAAGAGGACATGGATTCAGTTCCCAGCACCCACATAGCAGTTAACAACTGTCTGTAACTTCGGTTCCAGGGGATCCAGTGCCCTCTTCTGACCTCTGTGGGCATTGCATGACTTGGGTGCACTTACATTCATGCAGAAATTACACTCATACACATAAAAGTAATAAATATATAAAAAAAGAAGTCATTGCATTAGAGGTGACCAAAAACTGTTTTGGCCCAGAGTCCATTCCTTTGACTTTGACTCTTAATGGTGATAAGAGATTCATGAAGTTTTTGTTCTTCAGCATGTCAATTTTAAGACCACAAGCTGCAGAATTGTGTATCTTGCCTGTTCATAAAGGAACATCTTGAGCATGAGGGTTTATGTGCGTGGTGAGCAGTTCCACGGACGTCTTCCTACAGAGACACCCAGGTTCCAGAAGTGGAAATGCTGCCCTAGAGGCTGCGCAGTGGGTGTCTTCACACGGATTAGGAAGCTTCTCCCATAACTTTCCACTCACAGCTGCCTCAGTAACACACAGCTGTGTCCATTTTCCTTGACAGTGTTGGGCGTTGGCATCATTTTTATATCTGCCAGTCTGATAGGTACTCATAATACATTTAGATCAGAGATTGATAAAATAGATATGCATGCACTTCTTTTTGAGATATGCTCTTTTTAGTCTTCCTCTGCATTTACTCTGTAACCTAGGCACTGACCTTGAACTCAGAATTCTCCTGCCTCAGCTTCCAAGTGCTAGGGTTATAGGTGTGTGCCACTATGCTTGGCAAGTTTCTTTTTTAATTGAGGGAAAGGCAGCATCTGGTGATGTCTGACAAGTGGTGGAGGAGGTTGTTGGTTCTCTGTTCTGTTTTCCACTTCAGTATTGGTCACTCACAGGTCGGGGAGTAGACTAATGGCATGATGCTGCCTTGATTACTTACTTTGTAATAAGGAAGATCAGTTTGCTTGAAACTTGTGTAAGAATTTGCAAATTAGCGGTGCTCTTGACTGCATCATGGGCCCCAGCCAGTTACATGTGCTTGTATTACAAGTGAAAATGGGTAAGACAGTGTATATTGTCCCTGGAGGGTACTTAGGCCCAAGACTTTGGTGTTTTTTGAAGTTTTAGTCTCATCACAATAAAATTTGCTTACATTTATGTATTAGTGGGTGTGTAACTTTTACTGAGCAGCATCAAAGGAAGTTATCTGTCAGCTGATGAGCTGTGTTGCCTTTCTGCCTCACTGTCCAGAGTCTCCTGGGACTCGCCTATTCATTGCTTGCCTGTGCACTGTGGCCAATGGTAGCGTTCTTAGTTCCAGAGCATCAACTGGGAACTGCGTATGGATTGTAAGTATATTGTATTTACACCGTGGATTATGTATTTTGTCCTCTGCTGGATCAGTTATCATGTCTGTGACATGTCTCTTAAATGTAGTTATCTTCAGGGTCCAGGAATAGCTCTGAACCTAGGGATAATTAGTAAACTTTCTGTAACTGTGGCCTGAGGGAAACAACCCAGTGGCGGAAAGGTTTATTTTAGCTCTGGGACTGATATTTCAGCCTGAAGTCTTTGGCTGCAGTGATTCTTTGGTTCCATTGATTCTGGGCCTGTGGTGAGGCAGATTGTCAAGGCAGCCAGGAAGCGAGACAGACAGACACAGACACATAAACACACACACACTGTGTCTGTCCTGAGAGTTTTTTCCTTTCACCCCCTTATTCCTTTCAGGCCTCCAGTATGGGTTGGTGCCACCTGTTCCCAGGTCTTGCTCACTCAGGTTAATCCTCTCTGGCAAGTCTTAATGGACACTTAGACGTGTGCTTTCCTAATCTAGATGCTTTTCAGTCCAGTCAAGCTGGCAATCAAAACTGACCATCAAACGTGGCAAGCCTTCCGCAGATAAGATAACCTGTAAGATGTAGATGTAGACATATCATCCCTGAGAAGTTGATCCCTGTCCCAGGCTCAAAAAGGCCAAAGGGGGCGGGGGCAGCCTCCCCTGTGCTTAGTACTCAGGCCTTTCTCCTTTTCATTGAGTGGAATTACTGAGTGCTTCACCAAGAGGCTCACTTCCTTCTGTTGAAGCAGGTCTAGGAGCAAAAACAGTCATAGGACAAAAAGGAAAATCCCCCAGGCATGATGTGCATGTAACTTGGGAGGCAGAGATAGGGGGATCTCTTAGTTTAAGGCCAGTGTGGTCTACATAGCGAGTTCTAGGCCAGCCAGGATTACATACATAGTGTCTTCCAGTCTCAAAATAAATTAAACCCAAAAGCAACCAAACAACAAACAACTCCCCACCTCGCAAAAAAACAAAAACAACAATACCACCACCAAAAAAAAAAACCCAAAATCTGTCCAAGTGCCTCCTGGTGGAAAGCCTTTCCTAACAGCAATTGTGTGTGGTTTATGGATGCTAGTTGGTCTGTACTCTTAGCTGTTGGACTGTGTGTGGAGACTTGAGAATGAAATGTGCTTGTGTGTTTCTTATGTTGTAGCATGCAGTCCATTCAGAACCTCGGGTTGGCCGTCATTTCTATCTTTGCTGGCTTGATACTGGATTCTCGGGGATACTTGTTTTTAGAAGTTTTCTTCATTGCCTGCGTTTCTTGTGAGTGTGCCATGTGGCAGCGTTTACTTTCTTTCAATATTGAGCGAAATGTTCCTGTTTTTATCTTCAGGTTTTAACCTGTTCATTTAAAGTAAACAGTATGCTTCAGTGGTAAGGGTGGAAAGCCATGCTTTGACTTGTAACATTTTAACTGGTGGGAACCTAATAGTTTAATGTTTGGTTATTCTCTTTGTAAAAGGCATGTGCAGATGTGAAATCCTCACAGAGCTACCTCTTTCTGGGGTTCTGTGAAATGACAACAGCCGAGGAGCTGCCAGGAATCCTGGCAGGAGGAGAGGAAGGCAGAGGGAGGAGACAGGGCTGCCACTGGCTTGGGGTGGGTTGGCTCTCTGTCCTGTAGGGTCTCAGATATCTAACTGGCCCTGCCATCTCCTAGGCTAAGAAACTATGATTTTTTTTTGGGGGGGGGGTAAAGATGCTATGGCAGTTTAGTGCTTTTAGAAAACGAAACAGAAAACTTTTGATTCCGTAGGCGTGATTTGAGTGTGCCCTGTGTTTTTACTCCTAGTGTCCCTTTTGGCTGTGATCTGTCTTTACTTGGTGAATCATGGCCAAGGTAAGCGGTTCTCTTATTTCTTCTCTAGCTCCAGTGATTGTCTCGGGGATTGTTGACACCTCTGAGGGCTGGTGAGTTTATGTTAGTGATTTCCTAGGCATAGTGAGAGGAACACAAGCATTCGTAACTATGTGTTCTGAACCTCTACGTTTATTAAATTCCTGTTATGCTTTTTCATCTGGTCAGATCAATATAAGTTTTATAATATAATATCTCAGGTGTCATATTGGCAAAACCCCCTAAATCACTTATGTATTCTTATTTAAAAAAAAAAAAAAGTAAATGACTGGTCACGGTGGCACACACCTTTATTCCCAACACTTGGAGGCAGAGATAGGTGGATCTCTGTGAGTTCAAGCCAGCCTGGTTTATGTAGTGCGTTCCAGGCCAGCTGCAGCTACAGGGAGACCCTGTCTCCACAAAGACCAAAAACAAACAAACAACAAAAACAAACAAACAAAAAATTAAATCAATTTTCATCTTAAGGTTGAAAGTATTGGGTTTAGAATTAGAAAAAAATAGATTTTTTCCCCACTAGGATGCATTTGTGTGTTTGTTCTTTATAAGATGCTGGTGTCTTTATTCATTTTACAAATGGCTTTCAAACTGCTCCTAAAGGGCATTGTATACTTAACAGAATATAGTGCAATGTCATGCACATTTGGATTTCTTTTAATTTTTCTCAATTTTCATCGATATTGAGTATTAATAAAGCATTTCATTTAACAAAACCTAAAGCAATACCTAACTCCAAACTTAAAAATACAAAGCTAAAATAAAAGATTATTTTTATCACATAAAGGTTCTACTTTTTTTCATCTTTCATAGTTTTTTAATGTCACTTAAGGTTTTTTCTCTGCAAATGTTTGTTCATATGGTTGAATTTTACTCATACTACTTATAATTAAACGATTCTATTTATTCGTGTTTTAGGTGGGAATCTAAATTATTCTGCAAAACAAAGGGAAGAAATGAAACTTTCTGATCCTGAGTAAGTATTAAAAGGGAGAAAATTTACCTTGAAAAATTTTAAATATGAGCATTTTAGTTTGTTAGGTTTGGACTTTAAAAAAATTAAAAAAAATATATATTTTATTACTTGGGAGGCAGAGGCAGATGGATCTTTTTGAGTTCAAGGCCAGCCTGGTCTACA